TTGTGTTTTCTGATGGATGGTTAGAGAATGTAATTCATGGATCCATCTTTAGTCTAATATCTACAGTAACTTCATCAATATTAGCAGTTGTTGTATCAAACTCTGTATCAGCTTCAACCTCATGCATATCATAGTTTGAAAGTGACCCTTTTCCTATTGCCTTATCTTTTCCAAATATAGAGCATAGTGCATCAAAGAGAGGAAAAGGGTTTGTTCTTAAAATGAGTAGCTTTTTTATGGCTCTGTAAACACAAAATCATACAAAAATATCAAAAAGCAAATAAGCTTAAAAATTCAAGTCTGCATCAATATTTATTATCAAAATAAAAGTTGAAATAAAAAATATTTTTTAGTAAAGTTTTACCTTAATATACTCATCCCACACTTCCTTGTTTGCTGTGACATATTATTTGTCAAGGTCCTAACCAAATTCATATGTGTTTGAACCATATAACATATAATATATGACCTATCAACTAGTTTTTAATGTCTTCAAACGAGATTGAATGTAAGGTACAAGTATTACCCCATATCCAAGTGACTTTTCCTCTATCATTTTTGCAACCTCTTTAAACCTGCAGACTTAAACTCATTGCCTACAACCAAGGTCCCGTCATCATGAAGTTGAAGCAAGGATTACACAAGAAGGGAGTCTTCCTTAGGTGTCTAAACATGATGTGTTGACTTTATGGAATCGCCACCTGTTATAATCTTACTTAAACAACAAAAATCGTCACTAGTTTTAACATATCATAACATAATCAATTGTTGTAAAGATAAAATATCATACACCACAATATTGCAAAGAAGGCAAATATCACCTAATAAAATTGTTTATAATGTTGTCATTACATAAAACATACATCTACAAATTTTCAATTAGAATATAAGTCACATCTAGATTTATGTGTCTCTTCTAATGCTCACATACTACCCTTATGACTCAAGTTCAACAAACATTTCATTTGCCAAGGTATCACAAAAGTTAGCCCATGCATTTGATGTCTCAATTGTTTGAATGGAAGATATCTTCATATAATTGGTATTGTCTTGAATGCTTCTATCTTTACATCCAGTGGATCATCTCCTTGTTGATGGATCAAATTATGAAGGAGATAACATGCTATGATAACTTGATTATGGACTTGAGCGGGGTAGAATGAAGGACTTCTAAGAATTGCCCATTGTAGTTTCAACATTCCAAAATAATGTTCAATAACATTACGCACAGACGAATGCCTCATGTTGAAGTACTCACGTAGAGTTAAAGGCTGCTGTCCATCTCTCTACTCACTTAAGTGGTATCACTAACCTCAAAATGGGGCAAGAAATCTTTCACAATTTGCATGCCCCGCATCAACCAAGTAATATTAGCCTATAAGAATAAAAGAAATTAACTTTAAGTTTATTACTACATTGATCATTACTTAAAAATAAATTAACAAATTAACATTACCTTAAGGTACTTTCAAACCATTCCTATGAGTAATTGCATCTCGCAAAACTCTACTATCAGACGCTGAGCTTTCCTAACCCGTTAAAACATATATGAATTGTCCATCTAGAAAGCAAACTCCCAACACATTAGTGGTTATTTTCTCCTTTTGATTTCTATATCTTGCTTTGTCAGCCATAGGCACCTTCACTTTAATATGGGTACCATCAAGAGCACCTAAACAATACTAAAAATGAAAAATAATTAATTAAAAGAATAAATAAATAATATCATTAATATAAGTTGTGAATTAAGATATGAGATTACCTTAAACCACCTCCAATTTTCATCTATTAAATCCTTAGCATTAATCTCGGGTTTCTTTAGAAGCTCTTGATTCAATTTCATTATAGAGGTTAAGACCAAATTAAAATACCAACTTATAGTTTCACCAAACCTCCTCAAATAAAATCGTGTAACTTTATTTTTTAGATGATGTGCAAGGATATGTAAGAACATTGGCACTTAGTCATCGACTAGCATGTTTTTGATTGATTTTAAACCCCTTATAATGTCAAGCGTAAGACATAGCTTGTCGAATGTGGCTCTATTCATTCTAAGCTGGTTATAACAAGCAGTGTTACTTCTATACACCAAGTTCTATAAGTGGATTCTATTAGCATCAAAGTCTACTGTATATGGCATTTGACTAATACGGTTCCTACGCAAGGCTATAATGGTATAGATGGCAAAAAAAGATTAATACATAGAGTGAAGAACACGCATTCACCAAATCATCAAATTAACTATCACATCTCTCATTTTTAGATCTATAATTGTAAGTTACAAATTTTAAATATTAGGTTAAAAAATTCTAAAACATCCAATAAATATCACAAGGTAAGATCTACTTTAATATATAAAATTCTATTGGCAAAAAAAATGTATAAAATTCTAACGTAGAACCCATATTTAATAAAACTCTAGTAAATCATCTTTGACTGAAAAATCATGGAACTCTAGTAAATCATCTTAAACTAAACACACATTGTGTCATGCTGGCTTTGAACTAATTTTTAAGGTAATAATCTATAATGGATGAGAAGTGTTGTTGTTAGACTTCAATTTAATTTAAAAAATTGGGACTAGATCTGAGTATGAGAGAGCAAAAATCTCGTTTAGCATGCTTGCTGCACTCATTGAGTCGAGCAACTTAAGGCAACTAATTGATAGCATTTCATTAGTAGATCATTGTCATTCTCTCTAAACTCTAAACCCATATCATCAATTTTATGCAAACTTAAACTATGATGATTGTATGGCATTTCCTGATCTTTAACACAAAAACTAAAGCAGTGTCATTTTTACTTATTTTTTCTCATGTTTTGTTCTTGCCTATGCTTGCTATCAGGTATAATTTTCTGGACTTCTTAGTAGGGGTGTAATATTTGTCAAGGCATTGACATTAGTTTATAAAAGAGGAGGGTACCAAATGTAAGAGATTATAGAGCATATATCACATAATATAACTTCATGCTGGAGGGATTATGATTGAGCTCGAACCTTCTTGCACCGACAAGAAGAAGAAGAAGAAGTACCTTAACAAAGAAGAAGTAGCCACATCTAAAGACAGGAGAGACGGGAGAGGGATATAAAATCCAAGATGAAAAATGATGGAGGAGGGAAGTCGATTATCATGCCTTGGTCATGAAATCCAAAATATCTATCTAGACCATGTCGTTTGTCATCCTTCTTGTTGTCAATCTTGCCATTTCTCTTGCGTCTTTGCTCATTGTGCCATGCCTAGTAGTCAATTTTGAGTGTGATAGGGTTATATGTCTTTAAGGTAAATTTATCTTTCTAAAATTTTTATGATGGTAAAAGTGTCTTAAAAGTTACAATTTTATGAAATTGCTCCTAATTCCATGACTTTAAACAAACAATTCAATTCAGCCTATTTTCATAAAATCAGGATTCATAGGAACTGTAATTCATATCTACCAAGCATTACTATTCAAATCCTTATCTCAATTTCATTTCCATCTCTAAAATTTCAACCTACCAAATACGACCTTAGACTTGTACCGGTTGAAGTTGGTCTATTTTTTGCTTGAAATTTAGCATCAAACTTTACATTATTCAAATAATAAATTTTAAATTATTTAAATTTTAACTGTGAGATTTTAAATTAAAATTTAAATCCAAATTTATGAATTCAGATGCTGTCAAATATTATCTGGCTTATATGAACTTCCAATGAAAATCAATTTAAAAAACGATCCACACCAGATGGAGAGATACTTTTCTAAAAGTTACTTCTAACATTTTTTTTTCTCCTGAAAACTTGATGATACGTTGGCGTTATTATGTTTTATCAACATGGCCAAACCATAGAAAACAGTAATAATTGACGAAGAATTAAGGATCAAACCATACTAGGGCAATTAGTTATATTTTTATTTCTAAATTTGTAATTTATATGTTTATATATGCTTGGTAGGATGATTATTTTTATTCATTAATGAGATGAAATTATATATCTTAATTAGTCATGTAAGATTACATTCATAACTCTTTGTCCTCTTTGGCGATTATATATATTTGGAAGTGCTTTTTTTTTTTTGGTAAGCTGATAGTGTTTATTAAATTTTAATCTGACAAATGAACTTTTTACAAACGTTAATTAAACCAAAACACACCTAATAGTTTAGGTTTTAAAATTGAAAGAGTAATTTTCATAAACTTATTATTCCAATGATATCCTATATATATAATTTTCTTCTACAATAAAATACAGTCATGCAAAACGATTCGTTTTCTTATATAGATTCCACGAACTTCAACAAAAGGAAAATGCGGTTGTATTTTTTTTTTTTTTTTGGGGTAGAAAAGAGGGCAGTGCCCAATTTATTGACCAACTACTCCTTCTAGTTATATATATAGGGTAGAGAGAAATTTTTTTTTTAATTCTATTTATAAGTCATATTATTAATTTTTATCATAGATTTTTTTTTACCCTTCATTAAATGTTAGAGAGAGAAAATACATCATTGAAGTGCGTATATTTAACAAGAATAAAATTAAAAATTTATTAAATTTTAAGATAGAATTAATAATTTTTAAAGTTTTTTTTATATTAATAAAATAGATTAAAAGTAATTTATAAATAGAATCAGTAGAGGAAGAAAAAGAGGGGGAATGAAATCCCATAAAATTGTCAGGTACAAGGTTCCTCATAGAGGAAGGGAGTGTTCTAAAAATAGCCAGAGGCATTGAAAGCCTCTTTTGCAAGACAATCAGCCACTTGATTATGAGATCTTGGAATATGGCCCGTTTGAACAGACCAACAGGAGTTCAAGAGCTTAGAAGTGTCTAGTATAACTGGGCTGTGAATTGAGCTACGGAAACGAACAAGACTTTTACAATCAGTTTCCAGGATAATATCTTTCAAGGCCATTGTCTCCGATGCTCAATGCGGTTCTATTTTCTTGCCACCACAATAGAAGATAGACACGGATCCGAGTCTTCTCAAGCCACCTTGCTCTGCGTCTCTCATCCACTAAATTTGGTCCATTCAAATAATCAAAATCACATATATGCATATGTCGTATGGCGTTCAAAAATGCATGTCAACAATTCATTTTTAAATAGTAAAAAAAAAACATTTTGAAAGATCAATTTAAGGGTGAAAATATGTCAAACCTAGGTCAGATTTTAACGAAACAGGCTCAGTGTATTTATAGAAATATACTTAATTATAAATTTAAGCTTGACTTTTTTGTTAATTAGGCTAGGCCAGAATTTAAATACGATAAATTGTATGTCTTTGCAAGCGTGACAAAGTCTATTTAACATAAAAAAAAAAAGCATGCACAGTCATACAACCTCACTTGTTTAAATTTCAAGCATGCAGAGTCATACAACCTCACTTGTTTAAATTTCAACATAGCCTGTTTAACAAAAAAGTTAAGCTTAAGCTTATATAAATAGGCAAGGCTTATTAGGCCAAACTCTAGCCTGACCTAATATACTTTCATTTCATCCCTACATGATATTTCAAAATTTATTTTTTTACTATTTAAAAATAAATTATTCGCATGCACTTTTTTTTAAACCATCTAATATGTAAATTGATGAGATTTTGATAATTTAAATGGACCAGATTTGGCCGCTGAGCGATGCTCAGGAAAGTGGCCGCTGAGAGGGTCGGGTTCTGTATAGACGCACAAGTGAACATGGATTAAGTATTAAGAATAGTCATCCTCATTCCTAAAATCATTTTCTACATTTATAAAGACTTGAACCTAATATTTCGTGTTTAAAGAGCCATAGTTTCTTTCATTAGTACTCATGCCTCTTATTTAAAGACGAAATATATTAATCTTAAATATTCTAGCTTAATAAAATATTAGTATTTAAAATAAAAAACAGTTTGGTTGAACTATTAAATCTTCAACCAATATTTATTTCTATTCAATGACTGATACAATTATTAAAAATTTGGTTAATTGGCTAACTGCGAAACTTACAACCACCTCTGCCCTACGGCACAAAGTATGCTTGCAATTCAAAGTCAACATTTGATAGCCGCAGCCACCGCTGGTGTAGTAAAATGATGTACTTGCCATCAGAAAACACAAGTCCTGTCCAATATCAAATTTAACAAAGGTCTCAACAATGATGATGATGTTGGTAATCATAACAATATAAACAGCCAAGTGGAAAACACCTTACGCACAAGGCATTATTCTACTTGTCTCCAGGCATGTCCAATACTGTGGTATTTTGTATGAATAATATATGTTATGTGAAATAGATCCACCAAGTAAACAGCCAAATAAAAACTAGGATCCAGCTGATAAGGATAGATGCGTGTAGAGAAGATAAAAGTGAAATAGAGGAAAAAAGTACAGGGAGTCAAGATTTAGTATACCTGAAAAATTCCTACCTTTTCATCTTTTATTATCTTCCACCTCATGATGAAGTTGATCAAAAGAATATAGCACCGATGACTGCATGTTTGCTATTTCTACAAGCGTCTCTAGTGCTGCAAAGAATTTTGGTTGACAGAATAAATCAAATTTCCTAGCTATAGGAATTCACAGACGACTAAAAGCAAATATGCTGATAGAGTTGTGGGAAGTAAGATCTTAAGTTGTAATGTTCACCTCTCTCAAATGACAACTGGGCGGCTCGAAGCTTTGGAGAAATTAAAATCCCAAACGTTGACAGTGACTTGGATCGCTCCTTCTGAAACTTGAAAAGGCAGAAACAAGACCCATGGGCTAACTCAACAGACAATTCAGAGTTAAGTGAAGATAAATGTTGGAAGTATTTAATTGCTATTATTTATTAACCAAGTAAACACAAAACAGCAGTTATATCAGCAAGCCAAAGCGATATACTTCTAATGGATGTGCTAATTACAGAAAAACAAATATATGGCGTAGGAGTTCAGGAAGCAGTAACAGTTGCAGAATACTTACTTGATCATTGTCTGTAGGTCCGGACAAGTTCTTTGAAACAGTCACCTCAGCATTTTCTTCAGCTTAATAAATAAACGAGGAAATGAGAAACAGCTGGCATGGTTCTTAATTTCTTATAACATATAGCAGAAGAATCACCTTGTAAATTCAATTCAAGTTTACTCTGATGTGTGTGCTTCATTTCAAACATAACCCTAAAGAATATGTAAATTAAAGCATTCACTCTTCCTTATAAAAAGAAATATTAGCATTTGGGTCCGTCAGTGCACGAATCCTCCCCCTTATATTATTCAGGTCTACAGAGAAAAGCAGAAAAGCATACCATTCAATCAATGCATAGGGAGAGAGTCTCCATACCAGATGATTGCATAATACTATCACTCTCGTGGAGATGCACATTGTTATCTTCTAATTGACTAGTTCCATTTTCAGAGGATACCCACTTGCGCAACATGAAGCATGGTTGCACTGCAATGGAGTCCACTGCAATATCTGAAACAAATGCTCCCTCAATTTCAATGCAGGGTAAACAAGTAGCAAAATAAAAGCTTTTCCATTGTGAAGAAGAATGAGAACAATTTTGCAGCCCAATGAGAATGACAAAATCACAGATTATTTTAGGGATTGTTGTAAGAGAGTTGGTAAACGGGAACTAGTACGATTCAGCAGTTACAAACATGCATGTCCTTTAAAATTAGCAGTCTTCACCATCATATTGGGTTATCTTCACTGTTGTAGCAGCTGAATGGAGTTTCATGTCCAATAAGGAACTACTGATGCGTAAGCCACCCATAGAGTGTCGAGCACTTGCTAAATCCAGCCATCCCTGTGATATTTTTAAGAGAGAGAAAGCATGATACGTCAACCGACAACCAAAAAAAGGACGTTATAAAATTTCTTAGTTGGCAACTTGAAAGGGTAAATGGAGATTCTATAGCTTTTCTAGGAGCGAGGGATGAAGAATTTATGTGATAAAACAATCAGAACTAAACAATCGACATTCCGTTATCATGTTACGATTGCCTAATCCTTTTAATATTTCCGTTCCTTGTCATCAGAGAGGATAAAATTTTTCAGATAATTTAATTCATTGTATATTATAAAACCAATTGACAGGTAACAAGTGGAGGAGAAAGAGGAGGGGAATGTTTATCAGAACCTTTCTACACAATTATACTGGTATCAAGGTTGCAGAACGTCTGTTCTGTCAGCCAACTTTTAAATCAGAATGAGCTTAATCAGCTCAAGAACTTTCACACTTGTTTGGAATTAAAGATTGCGACTTTGTCTTTGAGGCATGAACTCGACGAAAGATATTTATACAAGCTTTTCATCTTATTTGCAAAAAGCAACAGTTTGTGACTAGTTGCATGAATAATTTGATGCGTTCTGGGATTAATGCTTTTGCTTTCAAGTGCATACAAGAAACCATAGTTTAAATTACATTTTGTCGATTAACTGGTTGATGTACGGACGCTCCCACATTGTTTTTTGTTGTTATGGACTTATAGACCCACTTATCAAAGCCAGATACCTCTATGGAAGGGATTTACCCTAAAACAACCTAAAATCTTTTTCCTCTCTATCAGGAGCAACCTAATGAACAGAAACATCCTCATGCTCCCATCGTCTTAAAATAGTGAATAACGTACTAATTCAGAGAACACCGAAACATTTAAAAGTCATAATTGAGGCATAAGAAGCTGTAACATGGTTGTGGCTGAGTGGTAAGAATCGATGTCTCTACCTGACGAAGTGTCGAAGACAATGCATCAAAGAGGGCAAGGTAGTTATGCATAGAATCCATGAATTGCAAGACAAGTTTCTCTTCCACTCCAGGCTGGAGTCGTGGTCGTCGCAGTTGCAGCTGTTGTGATTGTGCTCTATCTACTTCCGGCAGCTGCTTTCCTGTTTCTTTCTGAATCCGATCTTCTTCTTCCATGAGACTTCACCGGAAGTTTCTGATTGGGGCAGCTCGGATCTCTCAACAGCAGCTCTGTGCGACTGGAAAACCGGCTGGAATCCCCACAATTTCTATGCTTATCAGCTTCAGTGTGTTTGCATAAGAGAAAAAATCGATTTTCCCCCTCCAAAATCGATTTCTTCAGCAAATTACCCAACCAGTCAAAAAAGGACAAAAATCGCTTCTGACGTATTACGCGCGTTTTCCCGTAAACTGATGGAATAGCTTTTGCCAGAAGTTTATCAAAAAACGTTGGAGAAAATTACAAAAGAAAGCCCACGAAAAAATTACAAATAAAGCACATAATTTAATAAAAATAAAATTAAACTCTCATCTCTTCTCTTTTTTTCCCCTTAATAAAATTCAAATTTTATATCCTCAAAAAATTAATGTTTGATATTTAAGAATTAAATTATATAATAATTTATATAGTTAAAATTAATTCTGATTAAATTATTCAAATATTTTTAATTATGTTAAAATTAATTTTAGAAAAACAGTATTCAAATAGATTACATTATAACATAATTAATTATGATTAAAATATATCACTTAATTAATTATTTTCATAATCTATTATACTCAATTGAAATTCAAACGGACATTTAGGTTTGTATCAAAATTGGCAATGCACTCGGAGAGGAGAGCTTCGAACTTGGATTTGACTTTGACTTTGGTGTTGCTAGTTTTTCAGGAAGTAAAAAAAAAAAAAGTTCTTTTCACTAACATCCCTAGTTGTTCTTTAAAATTTTAGAATTTGTGGTTTTTAAAGTCTCTCTGAAAATTATTTTAAATTATAACATCACTTGAATTTGACTTAATAAGTTTAAATATTAAACAATTTTTGTGTGTGTGTGTGTGTGTAAAGTTTTTTTTTAGGTTAAGGTATATTTTTTATTGTAAATTATTTTTTGAGGAGTGTCCTAAATTATTTGTCATATTAATTTTGCCTTTAAAGCAATTAAAATATAAATATATTTTGTCCCTGATGTTAAATACCCCAACCTTAATCATTAAAAATGTTGATTGGGACTTAAGTTAGATAAAAAATGACACTTGTCATGCTAGTATATTTGAGTTAAGATACAATTTTACTTATAAATTATTCTTCAAGAATGACCTAATATCTTAAACTATTTGTATTGTAGCAATTTTAGCCCTTAAAATAATTAAAACGTGACACATTTATGAACATTAGACATTAAGAAATAACTTAATCAAATTCCTTTTCTACCCTTCTTTCAATCTAATTAAAATAAAAATAAATTTGGCTCATCTAAATTAATAATTTTAAGTCAGGGAGGGAGGATAACATTTTTTTCTATAAGAAAAACTATGAAGTACTAGTAGGAGAATGGGTAGGTGGGGCTAACTGTCAATAAAATGCAATTTTAGTTCTTAAAATAATTAAACGTAACATATTTTTGAACATTAAAAAATAAATTAGACAAATTTCTTTTTTGACCTTCTTTTAGTTTACTAAAAATAAAAATAAATTTGGCTCATCCGAACTAACAATTTTAAGGTGGGGAGGGAGGATAATATTTTTATATGAAAGAAAAGCTGTAAACTAATAGTGGGAGAATGGATAAGTGTGGCTAGGTGTGAATAGAATGTATAAAAAGGCAATAATTAAATACAATGAGAATGGCTAGTTAAGAGAAAGATCTCACCCAATAATGCACTCTCACTTCATTTCTATCTTATCTCTCTACAATTTATCATTAAAGCCTGCATGACCTTTTCTTTTCAAACATTCACAATTAAAAGTAGTATTTTAATAAAAATAAAGAAGAAAGGCATAAAATGAATTTGTTTGAATTATCTAACGATGTTAGAAAAAATGCTATGTTTTGATTTTGTTTTTTTGATAAAATTATTATGATGCAAATAGTTTAAGTCAATTGAATGTTTCTCAGAAAATAGTTTAGGAAAAAAATTTACCTTAATTTAAATTTATCTAACATGATGGGTGGCATTTTCAGTTAGACTTAGGTCCTAGTCAGCATTTTTAATGGTTAACATATATTTAATATTGGGGACAAATATGTTATATTTTAATTATTTTAAAAGTAAAATTATTACCATTAATAATTTAGAACATCGGGTGCTTCTCAAAAAAAAAATTAAGCATAAAAATATATTTTAATCCTTGTTTTTCCGAGAAGAAAAAGGTGCTCAAATATCATTTTCCCAATTTCTGAGGGTGGGCATTATCTCGGCATGGCTATTTTTCAAATTATGGCTCCATATCCTCCTAATCAACATGACAAGTCATGGGTCCATTATCCACATCATTCATTCTTTTAGATCTCTTAATTCATGTTAACCACGAAGGGAATGAGATTTTGCTTTTGCGGCCAATCCATTGAGGAATTAACCAACAAAGGTTAATTCAATTAATTAAAATTTAATTTATATTCTATATGTTGTCTCAAATCTCATTGTCAATGTAAATATTTTATTGATAATACATTTTGTAAGTACTTCCTTAAGCATTTTTTAAATTTAAAAACATGTTCTAATCTTGATGAATCTGAAGACTCAATTTATTTAAATTTTTATCCAAACAAAAAGCAAAACAGATTGAGGGATTAAAATTAAACTTTTGAAACCGTAAGAATCAACTTTGCAACAATAAATACCATGAGGAGGGGCATACAAATTTTTTTTTTTTTTATCCAAGTGTCTGCTTTACAATTGAAATAAATTATAGAAAGTAGAAACCGTAGACGTAGGTTGAATTTTATTAATTACGAAAATCCACATTTGTGTCATAAATACGTGTTAGGCCACCATGAAGCTGTTCCCATTGGTAAATAGCCAAATGATCATGGTCAATGGGTCATGGAAATCCACATTTAAAATCTTTTTTTTCTTTTGGCCTTCTGATTATGGTTTTAAAATCTCGTTGAAAAGACATGTTTTCTCTGTTCATGGGAAAAATCACAATTAATCTGATTTATTTCTTTTCATATCTAGGCAAATATAATTAAAGATCGCAAAATTTTGTTCAACCAAATTCATACTCATTTTCATTCGCGTGTCCAATCATTCCAGCAATTCCGGGGGCCTAGTAATACAACAAATAGCTTTGCATTGTTAATCTGCTAGCTTCACTTCAAAACAAAACGATTCCTTTTTCTAATTCAGTAATATGCTTTCACGGGCTAGCTAGCATCCAGTAAGCAAGCAATCTCTGACCATGAAAACCTAACAAGAGCAAACTATTGCAGGAAGACATAAAGAATAATTAAGTTGCTTGGTGACTCTCAAACAAAATAACCCATTTTTGTTTGTTAGCAAGTGATGGGCCAGATTAAGTTTTGTTTGTTTGCTTGCTTATGATTATGATCCCTCCTTTTAATTTTCAAGTAAACCCATCTCGTGAACCTCTCTACAGTCTGGCTTCACATGACACACCTAAAACAAAGAGAACTTTTGATGCTAAACTAAACTAAGGCAAAATGTTCCAACACAACACTAAGAATTCTCTATAAATTAACATTCAGACATGAGAACATTATCAGCTAGACCTAGCTAATTCACTGCTTCTGAGTTCTACCTGGTTAAGGAAAGTATGGGTCAGGCTAGTGGCAAAGCTTTGGTGAAGTGGCTGGTAGCAGCACTGCTCATTGCCTTGTTGGGTGGTGCCCAAGCTGTTGTGATATGTAACGTTGAAACATCTAGGCTGAACTTGTGCCGTGCAGCGATTACTGGGAGATACCCGCCACCGCCAACGAAGAGATGTTGTGCAATCATTAAGCAAGCCAATCTGCCTTGTCTTTGCAGTTACAAGTCTCTATTACCTGCAGCTGGGATCAACCCAAAAAATGCATTGGCCTTGCCCGCTAAATGTGGTCTGAAAACACCTCGTCGATGCTGAGGTATTCATCTCAACTTTGAATGAGTATTGATATATGAACAACTTTGGACTTGTATTTCAAGATTTGTTTTGGATTGGACACTTTAATAACTCATTATTCTTTCTTGTTGTAGCAAAGTGTAACAGTTCTTGAAGACCATAGACCATATCCCATTGCAGGCATACTCTTGGTTTGCTTTCATGTGATTCATTGACTTGGGAAAGGCTTTTGATTTAGCATTTTCTGCCTCTGAAATAAACAGCCAATGTATCCGTGCTCATTGCCTTCGTCTCACGTGTCTACAAGAAGTTGATGTATGAGCGTCTTATACATCTTGTATTGTATAATTTTACTCAGGAATTGACTGCAAAACAATTAAAAAGTTTCAGTACGCATTTCCTCATACATCTAACAAGAATACTAAAATATCTATTACCCCTCGTGCAATCTGTTGAACGTTTCTGTAGCCACTTTTAAGGGTAGATAATAATATGAATGCATCAAGTATCGACATCAAGCAAAGGTTATACATTGATAACGATTCAATTTAAGACATCAAGCAGAAATCACCCGCCTTGCTCATGAAATTAGGCCAATAAAACTAGTATATACATTTTCTACCAGCATTATTTCAAATGACGAATAAACTTCACAAATGATTGCTGCTACAAACTTGCTGCAAGAGCCAGGGCTAAGAATTCCTGTTATATACTCATATTTAAAAGTTAGCAGGTCAGAATCACTGGTAGAACTTCACTTGTATGAAACACTTAAGGCCAAGAATTCCTGTTATATTTAGAAGGAAGTTGGTCAGACTCACAAATACAACTTCACTTAAACATTCGGGGCAGCTATTAATCTTCAAAAATTGAACTGAAATATTTGAAACACCAAATTCTAAGGGCATCACAGAGACTGTGATTTTTACAATTTGCTTATCCAAAAACGTTGATTGATTACCTCAGGTTTAAGGGGTCCTCAAAGCCATCAACAAGCCTTCCCCAACGAGAATTTCTGAAAATAGAAACAAGGAGAGTGAGAGGGGGTTCAGAATTGGAAGGATTTTTTCCCCATAAGTATTTTCACCATCTCTGTACAAGAGATTTGGAGGCCAAGGTTTACAAACCATAACCTTCACTATTTCTCTCTAGTTTCTATAATCACTATTAATTATGTTTCAATCAAAACTTCTAAAAGATATACTCATTTTGATCTGAGCATCACTAACGGTAACTCTGTAAGGAAGTAATCATTCTCAGGAACATAATTGTCATAATTTCAACCCTCGTGATTCAAAGTAAACATTCGACAAAAATAGACATGAATCACCTGTCAGCTGCCTTAACCCAATAGTAAGCTCTGCAAGCATGCCAAGAATATGGGGCCAAAATTAATCATGGACAATCCATTTAACATTTGGGTTAACTGCATTAGGTTCAAGATCAGTGCCAAGTTGCCAAGCTAACTGTCCTTTGACATTTCCACAGTTTAGCCTTCAGAGACAACTTTTAACCACTAGAAATGCCTCATAGCTTAAAGCATACTCCAACCAGCTTTCTTTCCTATTGAGCATCTCTCTATCATCATCCTTCTGACATTTTCTGCTTCTTCCCACTTACCAATAGAGCTATACATATTGGCCAGCGTTATATAGTATCCATCATTTACTGGATCCGAGTCAACAGCATATTGAGCTATCCTTATTCCCATCTCAATTTGATTGTGATTATTGCAAGCACTTAATATAGCACCCCAAACACCACCATCTGGAGAGATGGGCATGGACAGAACTAGAGCTTCTGCTTCTTGCAAGTTACCTGACCTCCCTAGAAGATCTACCATACAAGTGTAGTGCTTCAGATTGGGTTTCATAGAGTAACTCTGCATCCTAGCGAACAGGTGCTTTCCTTCTTCAACAAGCCCTGCATGGGCACATGCTGTGAGAAGAGCAAGGAAGGTAACTTCATTGGGCTTAACATTTGCTTCTTCCATTCTTTGAAATATATCCACAGCAGATTCTGCATATCCATTCACTCCATAACCTGAAATCATCACATTCCAGCAAACAGCATCCTTCTCTTCCATTGAGTCAAACATTTGTCTTGACTTTTCTAGCTGCCCACACTTAGCATACATATCAACCAAAGCTGTGCCAAGTGGTATATTGAGTTTGAAACCTCTTTCATTAAGATAGTGGTGAACTCTTGCTCCTTCCTCCAGAGATGCAAGGTGAGAACAAGCTGAAAGAATAACAACTAGGGTGGCCGTATTTGGCTTTTGGTCTTCTACAACCATATTATTAAATAGGTTAATAGCCTCTTGGTGATGCCCAGCTTGAACAAGAGATGATAGCAGGGTGTTCCATGAAATAACATCCCTCTCCATCCCATCAAATAATGTCCGAGCAAAATCCATCTTCCCACATTTTCCATACATGTCTATGAGTGAATTGACCACCGATACATTGTCATCCATAAAATTCTTTACTACATAGCAATGAATTGACCTTCCTATTTTGGTTGCCCCTAGCTGAGTACAAGAAGCAACTGCAGAAACTAAGCTATTTGATTCAGAACGAATACCTGAATATTGCATCTCCCTGAAACTTTCAATACACTTCACACTCCTACCGACTCTACCATAGCCATTAACCATTGAGTTCCAGCATTCTAGGCTCTGTTTACCCCTGTGGAAAAGATTCTCAGCTAAACTTAACATTCCAAACTTGCAGTACATAAACAATAACGCATTGTGAACTACCTCATCAGATGCAAAATATCTCCTTACGATAAACCCATGAAATGCTTTTGCTTCGGATATGCTCAAGGAATTACTGAAACCCAGAAGGATGCAGCGGATGACAATTCTATCAGGACGTATTTGTTTTTCTTGCATTTCCCTAAAAAACCTAACACATTCAGTCATCAACCCAAACCTTGCAAAATTACTAATGATTGATGTCCATGACAGGAGGTCTTTGTTAATTAATTGACAAAAGGATTGATAAGCTTCTTGGGGAGTTCCACATTTACAATACATGGACAAAATTGAAGATTGTATGACTTGTGAACATCCAATTCCATTTTTTAATACTAAACCGTGTAAACATCTGCCTTCTGAAAGGGCACCCAGATTCCCACAAGCTTGAAATCCACCCTCCAATGTTCTAAAGTTGGGCTTCACGTCAACTTCACCAGTCCTATGCATCTCACAAAGACAGTTCAACCCCTTCTCACTCTCCTCATTTTGCACATACCCAATCACAAGCGAAGTCCAAGCAACCACATCTTTCACAGGAATTTCCACAAACACGTGAGAGGCGTGATTCATTTGGCCACATCTGGAATACAAGGACACAAAAGATGAACCCACTGCAGACCCATCAGCAAAAGTCCAAGTTTGGAAGACAAGCCATGAACGTTCTTCCCATAATCTAGCAACATCAGCTCTGCGCACGCAGAAACAACCATGGGGATAGTGAATCTGTTAGGCAAAACAGCGGAATCTCGCATTTGGGAGTAGAAGCTAAGAGCTTGAGAATAACTGCCGTGGGAAAAATGGCTTTTGATAATGGAGTTCCAAAGAAAGACGTCCTTGGAATCAAGAAGTGATTGAAACACCATGGTGGAGCAAGTGGGCTGGCTGAAGGAATCGTAGAGAGATATGAGCTTGGATGCGATGAAGACATTGTTGGAGTTACCTGTAGTGACGGTAATGGCGTGGAATTGAAGGAGAAATTGCAAAGTTGAGATTTTGGCGGAGAAGGTAATGAGTCCATAAGGGAGGTAGTGGGAGTGGGTGGAATAAGACGCCGACGAGTTACTGAAGAAGAAGCAGCTTCTGACTTTGAAGAGCACCCGCATGGCAAGAGGTTGGTATTTACTGGTTGGGGAGAATCCCCACCAACATTCACACACATTGCATAATCTCTGCATCGAGCAATGGTGGTACTTCTCGGCATCTGCAATAAAACGACGTCGCATGTGTGGTTAAAATATAGTAGCCTTTGATTGTAATACAGGAATCTGATTCTGACCATCTTCTAGTTAAAAATTCATCTTCTTCCTTCGTCATCTTCCACACTCACGACGTAGGGACGGGGAAAAAAAAAAAAAAACTCGCGCGGAAAACAGGTAAATGAGAAAGACGCCTAAGATAATGACTTTAATGGGTCTGACCTTTCTAAGTGGAAAAGATTAAAAGTAGTGGCAACAAGATTAAAAAAATAATAATAATAATAATGCAGCAAGAACATCCGCGAGACATCGAAGAAGCAATTATTAGACAGTATAAAAAGTGCAGCAAAAACACATGAAAAATCTAAGAAGCAATTATATGATATGTGCGCGAGTAAGCAAACATATCAGTTCAAATGTCACTTGGAACTGTCGTCAGTCGAATGACGTATTTCAGTTTTGATTAAAAATTTTTTTTCACTCGGGAAGAAGAGATCAAAGAGCCAAGACAGCATTGGGAAATCATTAAACAACTATATGGATTAATGAATAAGTGACCTCACGCAGATTTGCATCGAAGAATTCTAGTCGCCGCGGCCGCACTCACCTCTGCTTGTCCTCCGTTCCCAAACTGTCGAAGGCTTCAGTAAGTGCGGCGGGAAGGCCTTTTACAGTTTTACCTTTTAGGATGGCTTATTAAGCTCAGATGGCTTTTAAACTAAACTGCGCGTTTTGAGATGTTCAGGAAAAGCACCTTTTCCCGTTTCGCAAAATGACGCCGTGAATAAATCCTTAAAAATATTATTTGCCAGCATTTTACAATAATGAAAATTGAGAAAATAATAATAAAATTTCATCAAGTTATATAAATGATAAGCAAGTCTTTTGAAATGTCAAAATTCCTTTAAATTTGAAAACAATTTTAATTTAAATGATTAAATTATTTTTTATTTTAAATAAAGAGTAATTTAGTCATTTAATCTAAAATTATTAGTGTAAAAAAGATACTTAAAAAAATTATGTCATTTTAAAAGACTTAATTGTTATTTATATATTTTTTATAAAACTTTATTGTCATTTTACCATAGAAATATTTGCAGGAAAAATAAAGAGGTGCCTAATTTTTTATCATATTGGTCTTTAAATTTGTCTGGTTATTAATTTGATGATTCTTATTATTTAAAAAAGGAGATAACTTTGTTAAAATAAACTAATATGAATAATAAAATATTGATAATATCTGTGAGAGTTTTTTTTGGTAAATAATAAAAAACAAACTCAAAAAATCTTGAAAAATAAAATATCAAAACATAAAATTAGTATCTATATCGATAAAAGTTAGACTTTAGCTACACATATATGTAAACTTTTTAATATACTTTACATATTAAATTAGTTCAAGAATCCATTTACATTTTAAAATTAAAAAAATTAATATGATAATTAAAAAAATTAATTCGATAAAAATTAAACTTAAAAAATCAAATCAATAACTACAATAAACTTGACATGTTAAAAGTTTTGCCATCCCAAAAATCCATTTTTATAAAAAACATAAGATGATTCAATGGATATTAATTGAACAAGCATTTTAAGAGAATTATCCTTCAATGTTTTACATTTTATTAAGTAGAAAAATGATTTCTAAAAGGAAATGAAAAACACTCATTTCATACTCTTTTTAAATATATTTTCAATTGTTTTTAAAAACAACTTCTCTACATGCCAAACATACTATACATTTGTAAGTCTTGGAATTGCTTGCAGTGCCACTAGCTTTGGAATCCATTCAGGAAGGGCAACATTTGGGCATCGAATTTCCCATATTAGACATTGAAAGTGCTACCAAAGATCTTGAGGGTGATAGATTGCACGTCCATAAGTTGATATGATCATTCTTACAAACAGGGGAACTTGAAGCACTGCAAATAGAGCAAGTGGGAGAGAAGCCATAAGAGTGATTGGAATTGGCACCCATTTGAGTCTTTCCCCAAGAGTCAAAGAAAGAGCTGCCCCAAAAGCTATCAGTATTGTTGCTGTAGAAAAGAACAGAGAGGCCAAAGCTAGAATCATCTTGCTAGGCAGTGTCCTGAGGAAATCTTCTTCAGCATAGTACGCGGTTAATATTGATAAGAAAATGAAAATAGAAGCTACAGAGGAAAATAAAGCCAATGCATCTGAGACAGCAAACACCATGAATGCTTTATCCCTCAAGAATATTGGGATTCCTTTGTCCTGGTCATTGCCTCCAGGTACCGTGATAGTAGCAGCAAAAGCAACTGTGGCAATAAGAGCTGCCACTAACATAGATGAGTTTGAAGTATCTTTCATCCACTTCTCTCCTTGTTCAAGCAAACCCTTATGCTCATCCTTGAATAACTGCCAAGCTGTTTCCCCATCCTGGTTTTTAACTTGTTTATGAAGAGGATGATCCAATTTCTCCACTTCCTGCAAGAGCAATGCGATGCAAGAAGTGATTTGGATTTGTACGCGGCCAATCAAAGAACTAAGGATCTAATTATGAATTTGCCAAAAAAAAAAAAAAAGGTTTTATGCTTAGGGTTTTATTAGCCAGAATCCACATTCCTTTGATAATTGACTCACATTTGGTCTTTGACATTGGGGACTCAGTTTCTTTTATTTAATTTTAATTCCCTTCTTGTTCTGCATGAAAGGGATTATCCCATTGTCGGTATCTGTAAGAAATTAAACTTTGAAAGCCTGCAAGGAGGTGAATTATAATAAGATGAAGCATACCTTAAACCATTGTAACTCTTTTTGCATCTGAAATGCTGCACCAGAAATTGAGGCCAGCTGAGGAGAAGAAGTCAACCTTGCTGCAAGATGTGATGTGGTATTTTGTGATTCATCTACCACCAAAACTAATAGCTTACCGATTGGCATCTTACACAAAAGGCTAAAGACCTTTTCTTGCCGATTCTTGATGGCAACTTGCATTATATATCCTTCATATGGCATTTTAGTCCAAATCAAATCAGGAAAGAACTGGAAATATATCCTTAAAATTTCAACTATCCCAGATGATATGGTATTGTACAAAATGTCTGCACTGATGAAAGACTGCCAGAATAGCGAGCTGTTCATGATCAAAGCTTGTGAACAAACATACTCTACCAATCTTAGAGCAGATTTATGTCTCAACTTTGTGTCTCTTACTAGCTTTATGCGTGGAACTGCAGGTAAAATTTAGTTACGTAGAAAAGTGAGGCTAAGAATGGATCTTGAGGATCTCTCAAAATGTGCTTCTATTACAATAAAACATACCCAGCTTCTCAATAGCTTTCCAGATGAAACCTTTGTTTGATGTGTCATGAAGATCCTTCAAATCTCCTCTTGGCTGTAAATGATCAAGTTCCACTGAAACAACTAATGTAACGGTAGAATAAGAAAATTAAATTTCGTGAAAGACAAGGACCAAAATGAAGCTTGGAATGAGAGAAGAATTTTGCCAAAATGGGTACTTACAGTGGTAAATGAAGCTTCCCAAAAGCCCAAGCTCACTTCCACTTTGGAAGTCTGAGGGCATTTTCGACAAGACATTAAATATAACACTCCCATTTGAGTCTGCCATGGTGGCCAAGTTGGGATAGCGCTGAAGAAGAAACAGAGTGATATCTGCGCACTAGAAAGAAGCATAATTATTGAAAAGAAACAAGAGAGTATGAGACTACAGGAGTTGAATAGTTTGATGAGCTTGTACATTAGTCTGCCTTTTAGCCCAGCATAAAATGCTAGCTTTGCAATCAGTCACTGAAAAACTACATAAATTTTGCCTTCTGCTGAAGTTAAATTCCAGATTTGGTCAAATCTCAAAAAATGGATAATTATTCTATCATGGTCCATAAAAAATTATGTTAATGGTTGGTATGAAATATACTACAAGGCCTACAAGTCAAGTACACCTTCTCATCTAATCAGTCTTCAACAACATGAGTCCATGCTGAATGAGTGTAGCACGATCATATTTGAAAAAAAAAAAAAAACATGAGTCCAACCATACTGAAACATCACTAAAAGAAATTGTTGTCTCAGTCAACATTTGTTTTGATAACCATTGATGACTTAACTGCTGTCAATGTTGGTTAGTGTTAACATAAGATAACATGTTAACAATAGTCCAAAATTGTCTCCATCACACTATTCACATCAACCAGACATTCTGAAAACATAAATAGCCAAATATATACTGAAAAAGTTTAATTACCATGAAATCCTGCAGCAGTAAGCAAAGCAACAAGACGACTAGCTGAAGGACCAGAGAATGGGCAAGCAGGTCTCTCATCTGTAGTAACCAAAGCAAGGTACCATACCAACTCTTTACTTGTAGAAGAAGTAATTGCATAGACAAGAGGAGAGAATCCTTCAAAATCAGTTATTTGTGTCACAGAAGGATTCTTGGTCACCAATGCCTTGGCTGCTGTTGCATTTCCACCCAATGCAACATAGTGCAGGGCAGTACATCCCATCAAGTCTACCTCGGCAAGCGCTTCTACAGGCATTTGCTGCACCAACTTCTCCACAAGTTTCCACTGCCCTGCTATGGCTGCCACTTGTAGTGCAGTCCTAGAAATTGTGGTGATCTTTGCTGTCAATGCATTTGGATCATGCTCGATGAACGCCCTCACAGATTCCCAATCACCTTTGAGTGTTGCTAGGTGCAATGGGCGGTAGTAATTGTGGTTAAATCCCCTAGCTTTTGGCAATAGTAGAAGCAAAATGTGAATTCATATTAAAACAAGAAAAATTCAAGACTCAAAGAAATTACTCAAATAGCCATGTCATGTAGTATATATTTTAAATCTAAAATGCAAGTCATGAATATTGCTGTAGAAGTGTCAGCATCAAGTATGCAGGTGAAGAACAACTGAACAGACTCTTAACATAAAAACCAAATTTGCAGGTATAAATATAACCTTTTCAACTAAAGAGGGACCCTAGTAGTAGTAGAAGTATCACCTTTTCAAGTAAGGAAGGACCCTACTGAAACCTTCGACCAACTAAGGCATAGCCCTCAGAGCTTAAGTGGAATTCAATTATAAAGAAGAGCCCAGAACAAAGTAAGTTATTGCTGTCAGATAGTACTCTACCTGTCTCACCCTTCTCATTCTGGACTGGGCTAGGGGAAACGAAACAAAACAAAAAAGAAAGAAAGAAATATCTTTTTATCGTATTCATTCTCCTAAAATTTGTTCTACCCAACTTTTCTACCAATCCATATCTTCGCGGTAAGAGCTACTTTACTTATCTTAGATTCGTTCAACGTAATGAGTTCAAAAGTGACTACTTTGAAACACCCATACTTCAAAAACACAGCCGATTGTGGACATTGCATTGCATTATGACATTGTGTTTGTGTGTTGGATTCGAGGTTCACAAAACTTTGTTTGGGACCTGAATGACATGTATAAAGAGGACTTTCACATACCGAACTCAGTAATAGCATCCTTGACCTCGTTCGAAGAAACCAAACGCGATTCTGGAAATGCCATCTTCTGCTGATTTCAGAGCTTACGCTTGGCCTTGCAGGCTTCAACGCCGCAACGACAGCTCAAGGAGGTGAATGTGGAAGATTTATTACAATAAACTACAGCCAAAGAAGAAAGATGCTTCCTTCCCGACAACGCAAGGTTGATGTTCTCTTTTTCAACCTTTTCTCAAAGTGCTGAGTCAGCAAATCAGAGTGTTTCATGGGACAAGTCTATGTGGCCAAGCAAAGCAAGACATACTAGAAGTAGCATTTATTCTCTCCTCTTTTGTATTTTAGGTTCCCCAGCACCTGATCAAGAGTCCCTCCGTTCTTTTTCCTTCATTTTTTTTTTTTTTTTCATTCTCACCATTCAAATTTTTTTATTAAATAATTTTTTTAAATAATAAAATTAATGAATGATAGAAATGGAAGAAATGGAGAGAAATAAAAAAAAAAAAAGTGAGGTCCCCCAACACCCCCCAAAAAAAAAAAACAAAAGAAAACCCTTGATTCTTCTCATTCTTCTTTCTTCTTCCCCCTCCTCCTCCTTTTGAGGTACAATGGCAAGCAAGAGCTTGAGTGAAAGAAAAACTAGGAACTCCGTCCTACACAGCAGTAAAAACTAAAAACACAAGCAGATAGATGAGACCGAGCCAAAAGCCTTATAAGGGAGAAATCTTTCCGAACAATGCGGATAGACATTTTTTATTCCAGTGCATTGTTTTTTCGGTTCTTCAAAAAAAAAAAAACAAAAAACATTGTTTGAATTAACATTTGCTTATATAATATATATATATATATATATATATTGTCAGAGTCCTGGACAAATTTTACTTTTTATACAATGTAGAGTTAGGATTTAATTTCTATTATCATAATAAATGCCGTTAAAAATTCAAAATTAAGTTTTATTTTTTAATATTATAGGAATAATTATGCCATCTAATTTAGAGAATTGAATTTTTTTTAAACGTCAAATATATATTTTTCTGGCCATAAAAATATTTATTTCAATGTTTCAAAAATAAATTAAATATCTTTTTATACATTACACAAATAGTCTGATTTGTATAATCTTTATGCTATTAATATTAATTAATATAAAGGAGAAATAATTCAATCCCAAAAGGAGAATTAATGACACTTTGATCCTGATAATTTTTTTTAAAAAAATAGTTATAAATAGCTATTTAATTAATTACAAATTCATGAATTATAATTTTAAACAGGAAAAATAATAATAAAATCCCTTATTATTATATAAATGATAATTTGATCTCTTAAAATATCATAATACTAATAAAGTTTTTAAGAACCTCTTTACCAATAACTTTTGTTTAAAAAAAAAGATTATTTCATCCTTATTAACAAGTTGTAATTTCTTATTCAATATTTGTGATTCTTTGAAGAAAAGTTTTGATTCTTTAAATAAAATTGTGAATAAAATTTATTATTTTGAGAACTTGTTTTTCAATAATAGAAATATAGAATTGATAAATTATGATTTTTTATTCAATTCTTGCAATTCATATAATAAAAGTTGTGATTTTTTAAATAAAATTTATGATTGAGGGCTTTTTTTTTAATAACAAAAATTACGATTCACAAGTTATAATATTTTAAAACTCTTAAGATTTACGAAATAAAAGTTATAATTGAATTTTGCTATTTTTAATAAAAATAAAATAGTCTTTTTTAAAAAAATAATTGACAAAAAAGCTTTTAAGGACTTTATTAGTATTATAATATTTTAAATGATCGAATCGAATTATTATTTACATAATTTAAAAAAATTTATTATATTTTTTCATTTAAATAAGACATTTAAGGCATGTATTTTCTCCTTTTAACCTTCAGTTTCAGCTTTCTGGTCCCATTTGCAACTGCCTAATTTAATTAATATTTATATTTATCTAAAAAAATTGTCAAAGGCCTAGCAGCTTAACTGATTTCACTTTATTTAAAACATATAAAATATTTTTGAAAGGTTAAATATTTAAAATATAAAACGTTTTAATATTTAAAGATATAATCATTGCATGTTTTAAAAAAATATTCTTATTAAATAATTACTTTATATTTATTTCAGAATAAAACACCTTATTATATAGAAATAAATATGAAAAAATAATGTTAATTTAAAAATAAATAACTACTTTATTAAAAGTAAAATTTAATTAAAATACTTTTTATTTTTTAATAAAAGGAGTGTTAATTTTTTCTTCTGCTTATCATTGCCTCCATATAATTTCCCATTGTTTCCACAACAACGTTTGAAGCATCGTAAGCTTCAATAATATTGGCTCACGATTTACGAATAAGTTTCAACCAATTCACACGTATTGTTCATATATCGATTTAACTGTATTGATTTGATTTGATTTTCAACTTTTTCGTCCAGTTCATCTTTACACTTCTTATTTTGCAACACAAAAATTCTCTACAAATTCAAAATGAAAAAAAATCAAATGCAATAATTTTTTTAATCTTCAGTATTAGATTCTCCAATTAACACCTTCTGTTCCCGACGAACATACCCTGAAAAAAAATAAGCAATAATCTAACGTAATATACAGCCAAGAATCAATATACAAAGAATGATGCTGCAAGATAACATACCCCATTGTGGCTGTTTTTGTAAAACCATTATCAAACACGAGCGGCTTTGCTAAGTTAGACTCCATTTTCGTATATCTTCAACTACACATAGCAGCTATAGCTCTGCCTGCCAGTAGCAAAACTGACTCTACAGTCCAAAACAACCAAAATTTTAGCATCCAAGGCCTTTCATTATCCTGCTCAGCTCATTGATAACATCCTGAGGATTTGCATATGAACCAGAAAGGTTTATAGCATGGTATTCCAGCCCTTTCCACCTGGAGATCAACTGAAAATGTGGACGCCTGAATTGGCTGCTAATTATCTCAAGAATCACAGTTTTAGGCAATGCGGATACAATGTGAGTAAGACCAGCACCATGAGCACCAATGATCACCGATGCATCTTGAATGGCTTGGACCTGTTCTTTCATAGACATGTGCGCAAACAATCCATTCACAAGGTTAAGTTTGCATCCTTCATAGCTGGATGCCCAGCTCTTCAGGAGGTTAAAGACTTGTGCCTCATTAGTAAGCCTTGACTCGACTTTGCCACCATGGCGAGGATGAGCTAAATAATCTTCCCGGCGAACAAAAAGGACATTGTGACCAGAGGTTGGCTTTCTGATGTGGTGTTGGTTTAAGGGCAACTCAAAAGCTGCTCTGATCATCTCTCCGAACTCAGATATACGTGCAGTTTTGAGATTATCAGGGTTATGCCATAGATGAAGTGCAGATGCTCCATCACAATTTATAGATTCTGTTAGACCTTTAAACAGCGCGGTTTCATATCCCAAAGGTGAGAGAATAGCATGGTGAAAACAAACAGAACCACTGTGGTTTTTAGCATAGTTGATACTTGAGAATAATGCTTTCCATGTCTCTTCCAGGGGTGACTGAAATTTTTTACAATAGGAGGAAAGTAGTGAATCCAAAGATTTTAACCAATTGTGTGGAAGATGAAAAAACAAATCAATTATTTCACAGTAGGAGGAAACTAGAGAATACTTTGAAAATGCAGAAGTAAATTTACAAAATGTATAGTTAAAAAAAAAAAAAAAAACACAAATCTCAAGCAGGCAATGGCATAAGAACTATTAACTGGAAAGATAACGATCAATCTGATTATGCATACCATGCAGTGGCCGTCTACAAAGATCAAACGAGGTCGATTCGGCAGGCCAGTGACTCTAGAAGAAACATATGCACTGTACCAGTCTGTAATAGTGTGAAAAAGATTTGCATACTCAAAGCGAGTCACAAGAAGTGTTGGCTCCTCAATCCACTGCAAGTTCATACATTCATGTTAGAATCAGGCAAGCAGAAGCCAAGCAACAAGAGATAAACATGAGACTAAAGTTCAGCTCATCAGAGGATAAAGTTCAACAAGGCAGAAATTAAACAAACAGCAGTTTTAACTTCCTCACTCAGAGGAGCTTGACCAAACTTGACTCGTCATTCCACTGTATCCTCATTGATCAGGTCCAACGAAAGTTCAATACTTTTATGTGTTCAACGGGCACTGAACATACTGAAGCCAGATTCAGATTTAAATACCGATTTCCTGTTTGGCATTGCTAAATGATAGGTAGGCAAAAGGCTTGAATAAGTTTTAGGACATGGTGTTAGTATTATTAGAAGTCCCAATTGATCCCTCTACTAAAAACTGAATCAGTACTGCCTTTCAAAATATTGAAATCAAAATTTACAATCACCATTTGCGATGACATTCAGAATTAAATAAACACCATTTGGGGCATGTGGGATGACAACAATGTAATCACACATTGCTCATAAAGTTAGAACAAAGAAGTGAAAACCAATTAATCCCTATAACCTCATCGCAAGCGAAGTCCTTCTCACCAACTACCCTGATCGAACTGATCAAATCGCGCATTGTATGCCTCAGAACTTCGCCTTGAGGCACATACTGATCCAAGAACTCGTGGCTCACGAGCTGCTTCTCTTCACTAAGCCCTTTCCCTCCAAGAACCTCAAAAGCACCGTTCTGAAACACAGGAAGCTCATCCTCCTCTTTCCTCCCCAAGACCTCCTTCAAGTTCTCGCCTCCCATTGACATCTGTATTCTCTCTGGCACCATCCGAAGCTTCCCTCCCTCACATATCGAGCTCCGCAATGTATCGCTGTACCAACAACGAAACCATCCGCCGCCGCCGGAACTGTTGGAGAGAGCACTGGAGGAAAGGAGATCATGGCGGTGGATGAAGCCGTTGCCAAAAGGCTTCGCAGGAGCGGAAATCTACAGAGTTGGTGGGTGGTTGGGTCCAAGGGAGGTAAGAGGGAAGGATCGGCCAAGATTTCAGGAATTGGGTTTGGGTTCGAAGATGATGCAGCAAGGGACGGGGAAGGGAATGTTTGGTGGAGGAGTAGTAGGAGGTGAAGTAGAGGAAGAGGGAGAGGGAATTGAGGATGAAGAGGAGGATGATGATCTTCAGAAGATTAGTGTTTCTTCTGCTCATGGCTTCTCTGTCTCTCTCTCCCCCCTTCCCTTCTCTTGAATCTCCTCTCTCTCCTCTCAGTTTTTTACTTTTTCCGATCGCGGTGGTGAGGATCAACGCAAGTCGTCTGAAAGAAAATTCTGGTTTGACTCACCGAATAAAGGAAGGACGGTAGCGGTGGACGCGCCTTTGTGCATTTCTCAGCCGGACAGAACAAATAGTGTGTTGCCACGTATGTGATGTCAGTTTTTTTTTTCCCTTCTCGGCAACAGATTTTTGCGTGATTTAGTATTGAGCAGGGCTGTACAAAAGTCTCGTGATCTCGTTCGGTCCGGTCCGACCCACAAAAATCCGATCTTATCCAATTCTGTAAAATGCTTGTCTTATAGGACCAAAAAAACTAAAAAGACAGGATTGATTTTTCGAGTAAAACCAGACTAGAGACCAAGCATGTGGACTAAGTGGTCCGATTTGGTCCTATATAATTATTTTAATATAATTAAAATTAATTTATAAATTATTAATTAATAAGCCTTAAAAAAAGTCTTAATCCTGCCTTGCACTTTGCACTCTAATAAAAAAAAAACTTCAACACTGTTACTCAACAGCATTTAGCGTCTCAGTCACTCACGTCAACGTTGCTCTCATTCTCAATTTCTTCAATGCGCCAAAGCCCTAGCCCCTGCCTGCCTTGCACTTTGCACTCTGATCTTGATCTGTTCGAACTTTGAAGGAACATGTCTGTGGGTTGATTTTTATTACTTCTGTTCTTGCTGATTTTTTTCCTCTTGTCTATTTTCGATCTTTCCTCTGATTTTTTATTGAAATTATGTATTTAAATCATTTAGAGTTTGGACTGTAACTAAAATTTTATTTTCTTGGTGTTAGAAATTATTATGGATTTATTATGATTATAAGTGTTTTTATTATCTTAATTGAGTTTGTTAAGTTGAAATAGATTATTGGTCATCATAGAGAAAAAAAAAAAGGCCAAGTGAGTATTGGACTAACAGGACCAGTCTCCCAGTCCTATGGACCAAGTCCAGTCTTGTTAATCTCCGAGTTTTCACAGGACCAGACTGGACTATGGGTTACCTAACCCAGTCCTTTTTATGAAAAGGACCAGACTCCGAATTAGGCTAAAGTTCAATCTCTTTAGTCTTTTGTGTAGCCCTAGTACTGAGGACTGACGAGTGACCATATATCATCTTGTCCATTTTTTTCCCAAAAAAAAAAATAGAGAGAGAAAATATCATTTTCCAGTAAAATTTAAAAACATATAACTATAAATATAAATTAGTTTTTTAATTAAAAAAATAAAAAGATACTCTATTTTAAAATAATAATGCATAAAATTTTTATTTAATTAAATTAGTAAAAAAATATTTTTATTAGATAAAGATGTGGTGTGCCCATAGTTCGGGCTGATTTAATACAGTAATTATTAAGCCTACTGCGGCCTTTTTTTTTTTTTTTAAGTCAGGGCATTTAACACGAGGAGAAATTAAGGATCTGGGGTACACTAGATATGTTGAATAACATTCAATATTTAATTAATGTTAACTTTTTAATACTTTCTTCCCCTGCCCCTTATAAATACTATATAATACCCAGTCGTTAGAAATTTGGGAATAAAAAAAGTTGTTTATCCTATCCGTTCAAAATATAAATTATATTTTAATTCTTTAACTTTCAATTAAGTTTTATTTTGGTTTTCCAATTTTATAAATTATCTTTTCAATCATTCATAGGTTAGTTCCATTAAAAAAAGTTTACATTAAATTATTAAATATGACATATTAATTTTAATTTTTTTAAATTAATAATAATTAGTAAAAATATTATTTGAAACCAATTTTATTAATGTTAAAAGATTAAAAATATACTTTATAAAATAAAGAAATCAAGTTAAAACCAATATTTTTTAACTAGCTAATGACCTAATGTTAGTATAAAATATAAAATACTTTGTAAAATGCGAACAGTATTAAATTCTTTTTCCACAAATACTCTTATTCATTGGATCGTAGAGAAATATCATATATAAAAAAAGGTTTAAGTACACATTTAATTTTGTAACTTTAATATTTCATTTTAATCTTTTAATTTTATAAATTTTTTAAATCCTTTAATACTAATATTGTTAGTTTATTCTAACAATTTTTCATTAAATTTTTAAATATTAACAAATATTTTAAATATTAAAATATAAGTTTATTTTTTTAAAATAACAGTAATTGATACAAAATATAATCATTTAAAACTAATGATGTTAGGATTGAAAAACTAAAAAGATACTTTACAAGAATAAAAGATTAAATTAAAATTTATATAAAATTATAGGATTAAAAATATACTTTAGACATATTGATTTTAGTTGAAAGGTAATCTTGAAGGGTAGTGATAATTTTTTTTAGGTAAAAGGTACTTTTGGTTTTCCAATTTTATATAAGATTTCTGTTTAATTTCTTAATTTCATAAAATACTTTTCAATCTTCTCACCCTAACACGATAAGTTAACAAATAATTACTTTTGTATAATTATTATTATTTTAAAAAATTAATTTTAATATGTCAACATGTCAAAATTTTGTGAATATTTAGAAGTTTATAAAAAATTTTTTCAATGAAACCACAAGTATTAGGAATAAAAAGCTGAAAAACTTTTTATCACATTAAAGAATCAAAATAAAAATACTAAAAGTACACTTTAATAACTGTTTTTTATTATTTTTAACTATTTTTTTAATCATTATGAAATAGTTAAAAATGTCCAAAACATTTTATGATGGTAAAATAATTCATAAGGAGTTTTGGAAAAATAATTAAATAGGAGTATATGTGAAAAATTTTCATAATATATTTTAAAAATTTTGAATTAGGTCTTATCAAAAGTAACAAGCGCTCAAAAAAATTGAGCACTCTCTCGAAATAAGGAGGGAGCATTACGTTTTTTAAAACGAATCAACCATTCAATCTAATTGAATTAATAGTTTGCCTCAGGGTCATTTTTTTCCTCATCCAATTAAGTATCCTAATTATCTTCAAATTACCTAAAAGAAAGAAATGGATTCTTTTATTCATTTTTTTTTCCTTTTTACATATCTTTCACTAGAGATAAAGGTTGCGACAACTCTAGAACAAAGACGCCAAACATTAAAAAAAGAAAAACAAGAAATAAAGAAAACCGTTTTGAAAATATTCCGACCAAATACTTACCAAAACATTTTTTTATTTTTCTTATTTTTCTTTTTTTTAGAAAACAGTTTTTGAAATCAGTCAAACAATCCCTAATCTCTTTATATCATATTTTACTTTCTACCGTCAACATGTGCATGCCATGTACAAACTTCAAGTTTCATCTTCTGATGTTAGACTTCATGGGAAATCCTGATTCAGAAGGACCTGTTTCATGTCAAGATGAGGTAAATTAATGGCTCGATCATACCAAAAAGTGCCAGTCTCCCTCTGATCTTCCGCCGTGAATAGAAGAAGTAACTCACAGATACTTCATTGATTTGATTCAATCCGGTTTCTTCAAGTTTAAACAATTTAAGAAGCTGATGTTAGCCTAAATAACTCTTGAACCTGATTTAACTCCTTCTATGACATCAAAACAAAAAACCACCTAGAATATTAGTTAAGCAGTCAGGGACACCACTCATAATCAAGAACAAAGGCAATACCAGAAAACATTAAAATAACCTAACAATTAGGTAGCCTGAAATGAAACTGATTTATTACTTCACTATTGAGATACACACTCTATGAACTGAAAAAGAGTGAAGAACAAACCCCCAAGACAGTCTGTTCTTTAGAAGGTCTTGCATCAGAAGAAAATCACATGCCTTAGATGCATGCCCAGCCCAGAATTACTTTATTAATCTCTGCCACTTAGAAGATGCTTTATTCATAAAGAAGCAGTTTTTCACTCGTTTTCCCCACATTGATCTCCTGAGGATACTGTTTGGTATATCAGTAAATTATGCCCCTGGACGTCTTTTATTTTTTATTTTTATTTTTTTATTAGTCTTATAAAACGATTGTGCGAAACCTATATTTGCCATCTTAACATGTTTCACTTTCATATGCATTAAATGGAACTTAAGGCAGAAGTTCTGAGAAATAAAGAGTGAAGACTGAAAGCAGGCATGCAGCTCCCAACATATCAATATTGTTTGCTTTGACTAAGGATAACTAAAAACTGATACAGGCACAGCCCCGTCCAAGCTGTGTAACATGAAAATTAATATCTTCAGAAAGTTTCCCCTAACTTGTCGGTGACTAACCCTCTCACAACTCACAGGATCCGCCTTCTTAAACCACTCAAATTGCAGAACCAACAAATGAATTACAGGTTATAAACTTCATACCTGTTTCTCACTTCCCACAGATGCTGGAAGTGCTGCAAACAAAGCATCAAGCTGCAGAGATACAGCCGAACTGGTTCAGTGGACCGCTGAGGAACAATGCGAAAAAATATTTTGGAGGGTTCATAATGAAGTCAGAAGGCAGGTAAGAGTCAGCAATCAAGCACCCTTTTCCCACACTTTTCCAAAACCAGGATCGCATCAGTCGGCCTTTGAGAGAACCATGGAAATGGATTCCACACCCATTTCCCATGACAATTACATCCTTCTTCCCCGAAGATAAGAGAAATGTTCTTTCCAAAATAAACAGTGCCATATCATACGGCAAGTGGCGACTAACTTGTCCTCTAGAACATATATTGAAACGACTCCTAATAGAAGCCCTCCATGTGTCAAGCACTGACACTTGGACAAGTTTGGACAGTATTCTTCGGAAAACAAAGGTAAAAATAAAAACATTACTGCCAGCTTAGTAGCGTTTACCAAAGAAGCACTCATTTGAAAAGGGTTAGCATCTCTTGGAATTGTCTCAATGGTATCAAAAGTTCGGTTCACAATCAAATTAACTTGTTTTTGTAATTGAAAGATTATATCCATTACAACAACCACTTCCAGGATGAGTCATTTTACCTAGTAATATTAAACTGCAACAGAGTAAACACGGGTGATAATTAACGTGGATGTATATCTACATTTGTGTGATGTGGGCATGAAACTGCAACAGAGTAAACACGGGTGATAATTAACGTGGATGTATATCTACATTTGTGTGATGTGAGCATGCGCAAATATATTAAATTACAAGTTCAAAAGCAAGCTGCATGATAAGGTGAAAAGACACAATCTTCTGGTACTATATACAGCAGATGAGATCATAAAAAACTGATGGACATGCTCCTGAATGTTCAAAACTTCAATAAAGACACACACAAAGAAGGATAGACTTGTTGAAGGGCAAGGACCTTAAAAGTGGCATAGTGCGATAGACTTGTTGAAGGGCAAGGACCTTTAAAAGTGGCATAGTGCCACAGTCATGTGTTCCAACTCCCAATTGTCATCCAGATTTTAGTTAACTTAAGAAACATATAAATTAGACTCATAATAGAAGATTAGTGACCCGTATAGGCTATATCGCATCAGAATAAGTATAGAGGAAACCGTAAAATTCCAATCCTATAAAAAATTTGCAAAACTAAAGATGCTCTCGAGTGACGCAGATTATCAGGAATGGAATTACTGGACAATCAAGTAGTAAGAAGAATCCCAGAAATAGAAGGAGTCACTCCAGCTAAAGAAGAGCATAAAATATTTGATTTCAGAGGTACCACTTACTTACGGCACTCAAATATATAAGCTAGCTAGATATGATCTGAAAATAAAACTTTTAAATTGGTTAGATTAGGGATTTCAGGATCAAAAATACAATTTGTATCGTACCCTTATCTCACGATTCAGTTGATAGTTTCGATTTTGCAATTCACTGAAGTGAGAATATGTAGAAATTTCAACACCTCCATCGCGTGATTGAAAAAAGCAAGATATTATCTCACGATTCAGTTGATAGTTTCGATTTTGCAATTCACTGAAGTGAGATATGTAGAAATTTCAACACTCCATCGCGTGATTGAAAAAAGTAAAAAAACATTGATCAAATAATCGCATCATGCGGAGTAGCTAAGCATAACGTTGAAAGTTGAAACTAAAATGTGAAGCGACTTATGATAACGGAGCGACTAATGTTAGGAAATGAAAGGTAGCTTAGCTAGGCTCTAACTAATTTACGAAGCAAGACTTTTTTTTTTTTTTTTTTGCAGAATGGATTGGAAATTAGATTATCATACTTTTAGCTTGATTAATAATTAAATTACATTGACTCTGAGATGACTTGAATAGCTCATTTGGTTATATTTTGCGAGTAGTCTAAGTACATTATTCATGATTGTCAGTTTGTCACTAATATGATTTTTTTTTTGTAAAAGCTATATAGTTATGTAGATGTTAATATTAATAATAATAGTAAAATGTTGTATCAAAAATAATCTAAGCTGTTCGTTACATTTTATAATGATATCCAACGTTCATTTTAAATTATATTTTAGGTACTTTTAATATTGTATTATTAAAATGAATGGCCAAGATCATTTAAAAAAGCTGATGAGCACAGAACACGTATTAAGGTCCATTCAATTAATTTTTTAGTATCATTTAAATTTTTTATCTTTTTTGTCCTTTAGTATTATTTGTATCAAATTTCTATATTCTTGGCCAGAAATTTTTCTGGTTTTCTCCTTTTCACACGAGGTTCTATGGAATACATTAGCATGGGCTGAACATGTCAAATTCTGTCATAGATCATTGGTAAATAAACAAAGAAGCTTAGATTGTTATGCAAAATTAGATTATCACTTGAAATACATCTTCATGAATGTAGACAAATGTGTAGATTGGTTTGCCTATCAGGCATTTTACAAGACTTTAAATATCAATATTTTTAATTATGCATTTTAGAATTAAAAATTTGTTAAACTCTACATTACTTGACCTTGTTATTTACTGCATGGTTTTCTGTGGCTTTTAAAAAGAAGAAGCAAGCAGCTCTAACTTTCGATTTCCAATGAGAGGTTTACAGCACTTATTTCTATATCAATTTTTTCCTGCTCTATAACTAAATTCCAAATGAAAAAAAAAAAAAAAAAAACTAAAAACCAAGACCATTGCGCAGCTTCAGATCTCCAATGGCTAGCCTTCTCAAACCCATTAACACAGTTCTCAAAATCACTCACAGTTTGATCAATCTCCTCTTGAGTGTTCATCACAAACGGTCCAAACTGTACCAGAGGCTCACCCAACGGTTCACCCCCAACCAAAATGAACCGAACCACCTTACTGCTAGACCTATTCAAGCCTCCAAGCAATTCCCAGAAGAACCAAGAAGAAGAATGTGATGTGAAGTCACAGGCTGAGATTTAGGCTGCCAAACACGCCCTCTCCTTCCAACACATAAACAAAGGCGTTCCAAGACTCTGGTATGGGTTGTTGCAAGTGAGATCCTGGTTTGAGAGTGAAGTCTAAGTACATAGTTGGAGTCCTTGTTTGGATTGGAGACTTTGTTCCTAAGGCTTCACCAGCTATTACTCTCACTTTGATTCCATCTTTTGAAGCTTCTGCGATGTCCTTACTCAGCATCTCTTGATACCTTGGCTCAATCTGTCAGACAGATCATGTTGGAACACAATGATTAGTTGGTTAACCCAAAGCTTAGCTTCTAAATTAAGCAACTTTTTGTTTGGTACGGATCAATTTGACGTGACAATCAAGGTTTTGTTAAATAAAGTTCTTTAAAAGTTAGTACAGAGTTTTGACTTAGGAATTAACGTTGTACATGTACTGTTAATAATTGCCAGAAAAAAATCTGACCAAAGAGAAAATTAGGAGGAAAAAAACAAAAATGGGGCCTGGTTTAGAAATATGTTTTAGGAATAATTTTCTATTCTCTAGAATAAAAGAATAAAAAAATTTGTTTGATAATGTGTTTTTAAAAAATATTTTAGAGAAAAAAAAAATAATATTGTTTTGAGAATGAAAAATAAAAATAATTTTCAGGTGTTCTAAGATTATTGTTTTGAGAACAAGGAAGAATAAAAAAACACTTATTTCATTATTTTTTTATTCTTAAAACATGTTTTATAAAACATTAATTTTTAAAATAATAAAAATTTTCAAAATAATAAAATAAAAACAGTTTCAAACAACCCTAAGCCTTTTGTTTTTGTTGTTTTGTTATTTTTCACATGAACAGTTTTAAAAATTACATTAGATAATTCAAAACCACAAAAGTTGAGAAACTGGGAGCACCAACGAACATGTTGTTCTTATTATTGAAGTTTCCACCATCGAGTATGGGTGAGGCATGTTGTTTCTGGTGGTGGCCATTTCCGATGGATCTGCACTCTTGACATCACTGAGTGCTCTATTCTAAAGCACTTTGTATATGAAATGGTCCATGATGTGGAATCATGAGATAAAGTCTTGTGTGACACTGATCTTGACCTATTAACATGCATACATACATCTACATATATATATTCCAAAGGTGTGAAACATGCACTTGACTTTTCCTTTGTACAAAAAGAACAGAATTTCTTTTTTGATTCCCCAGTATACGGCATCCAAAGTAACCCTCTAATCTAAAGCACTAATTAAAAAAACTGATGATGTGGAGTGACGTGACATATATGTCAGGACCCTAAATTATGATTTTTGGTATTCAATATTTTTTTAACTAAAGTCAACTAATAAAAAAATAATAATAGAATACGCCAACCATATATGTGCTGACTTATGAATAAACTTACTGCTAACCTTATCAGATAAGATTTTTTTTAAAAAAAGACTTGTTTGTCCATTTATAATTGTTTGATCCATCAAAATTTTAAAACCATATTAATAGTTGAAGCTTGACAGTGGCGTTTTAATAGACTAAATGATCCGTTATTATACTACAGTTGTATCAACTTTAAAGTTTCAACGGATGTATTCTTGTTTAGAGGAGCTCCCTTATATGAAGGAAAGACAAGGCAATATATATATATATATATATAATAGACGTAAAGAAGAAGGAAGAAATTGAAAGAACTTACATTTTATATTTGGAAGGAAGGTTGATCCAAAGCTGCAGGCCCTTTTGGGTGCCTTGAGCTGCAGGCATCTCTGAGTGGACAATCCCTCTGCCTGCAGTCATCCACTGCAAATCACCAGCTTCTATCGTTCCCTTGTGACCTTCAAAATCTTCATGAGTCACAGCTCCCTGATCACACAAACATGTACACCGCAAATTATAATTGTATGTACATGATTAATGCTGCTATGTGGCTGAGATTTAATTAATTTGTCTTACTGAACTTGAAGGCCCCACATGTATTTAAAACAGAAAAACTCATTTTGACTCTTTTATATATATACTGTTGAATGGGCCAGCATTAAGAGGTTAGAGTCAGATCGAATCATGGTGCTTAAATTGACAAGGTTAAGTAAAAAGAGCTGCAAAATGACTATTAGTTACAACTTTTGGCCAACAGTAAGTGTCCGGCACAGCAATTGGTGTCAAATCTAGGGTTGTATATTTGAAACGCGAGGAGGGGGAAAAAAAATATTATTGAAGGGCTGGCATCTTATCTGTCACATACTGATATAATTAAGTGCTTGTTTAATTTGGGCTTTTAATATCATAAAAGTCCTTTGGATAAATACACCTTTGCCAGATGTTATTTGGTTAATTAGTATTATGATATATTATTTAAAGTTCATTTGTAAGGGCCATTATAGATCATAAAGTACTCACAAAAACAACTCTAAGTAGAAAGAGTTCTGCCCTAACTATTTAGTTATAATTTTTGACTTGACCGTAAATGCCCAATTAAACATGTATGTGTATATATGCATGAATGTATGTATTTATGATTTCACAAACAAATACGTGTATGTGACGCATGCAGGGCGTAGACAACATAGTAACACAAAAGGCAAGCTGGAGTTTGTTATCCTGGCCAAGGAACAAGACAGCAACAAGTGGGGTCATATCTTTTTTTTTTCTTGCTTATGGAATCAGTTGTTGCTGGCACCTAGGTCAACTTTACATGGTTGTACTTTGGTAACTCTAATTAAAGAGGTTCATTTGGTATCCAGGCATAAAGTTATAGCTCGTAATTCATATGTTGCTGGCCAGCACACAGATGGCCACCAACAGAAATATCTGATATTTAGCAGATAACTAAAAAATTTCAACACCTAATATTGAACTAATAACTCACATATCATTGGTTCATTTTTTAAAATTAAAAGCAAAACTTGATGTGAAAGAACATTAATTCTAATCATTTTTTCCCAGTTCCTACTCCCAAAACCTTCTTTCGTAACAAAGCTTGAGATGATACTGTAAAATTAGACTAGTTGGTTTGAAAGCCAAACACTTCATCTTTTTTTTATTTTTTTCCTGACCCTTTTGTCATTCTGTTTTTGAAATCCCAGAAAAGGCAATGATGATATTAAGTTACATTTTTATAGGAAGCTTGAGTAAATTTATAAACTGAAATGATAAATTTGGTGTGTACCTGTAACATGTATGTGACAGTCTCAAATCCTGTAGAAAGAAAACACAGCAGAGAAGGAGAAGGCAGTCAGAATCTCAGAAGATTTTTTGAGAACCAATACGAAATATTAATAACAGAGAAGAGAGAGCTTGCAAACCTCTATGTGGATGATCAGGAAATCCAGCAGGGGCAGTGACTGCAGAATTCAAATATTTTTATTCTTAGAAAAGGAAATCTGAGTCTTAATAACTATAAACAGATAGCTCTTTTTCTTTTTTCTGAAGAAAACAGAGATACCCACCTGAGAATTCATCCAATACAAGGAATGGATCAAAGTACTTCAGCTCAAACCTGAAAACAAAACCCAGAAACCTCATTAATCTAAGAAAAATCTCAAGTTTCTCAATGTTCAGTTGTTTCCATTGCAAACAGGAAGGAAAGATTCTGGACAAAACTTGAGTGGTCCTTGCTTCAAAGTTTTCCAATGAAATAAAAAGGACAACATGAAGAGAAACTTTATGAAAACATTGAATTAAACGACGTTTAACAATAAAATTTATACACAAAAATAAAAAAGAAGAATGTAACTAAAAACTGCATGTAATAAGCTCAAGCATGAAAAAACCCTGAAGCAGAAGAAGAATATAGCAATTATGTTGTTACCGTCCAATGCTTCTTCTAACAACGGCCCCAACACCTTCATGTTGAGGTCTGGCCAAGAACTTTCTGACTACAGGACGTGGTTCTGTCATCGAACTGCAAATTTATCTCAGTGGCATTTTGTAAAACAGTTGGGAAACAAACTTAAATTGTGAGGAGCTAAAGGAGGACACCGCAACATATATATAGAAGTGACGATGGAGGGTTGTGGCGTTTAGAGAGAGAGAGAGAGAGAGAGAGAGAGAGATTTTAAGAAGAGAGAAGTTTGGCGGCCAAATAAGACATCCGAATAAATATGGAAATTGAAAGAGAGGAAGTTGGCTTGCTTGAGATTATGGGATTGAATTGAATTGAATTGAGGGACTTTTTGCTGATCCTTGTATCAACGTCAGCATAACGTCCTCATGATGTTGCTTCCTGGCAATCACAATCTCAGCCGCTGCATGAATGCCACGTGTCAGTACGGAAAATGGAAGAATAATAGTTACTCGAGTGATTGAATCAATAACGCTTTTGCTCCCTGATAATTTTTTTTAACAAAATAAATTTAAAATGTAGATTTAAGTAATTGTAAATTTAGAAGTTTTAATTATAAATAAATATTTAAATTTTAAATGCAATTCTTATATTATAATTGAGATTTTTATTTATAACTGTTTAAATTAATATTTATAACTCAGTTTTTTGAAAATTTTGTGAAAACTTAATTGTTATTTGCATGGATTCAATACACCATGTCATCCATGCTACATCCAATTGAAGCATGCTGTGCTAAATGACTATAAATATAAATTAATTATGACATCAGGGCTTGGTTTAAATATGGAGAAAAGAGTGGAGGAAAAACAAGGAAGAGATAAAACCAAAACAAAAATTTTCTAAAAATAAAAAAATTATTACTTTTAGGAGTGTGCTTTCCTAATTTTCCTTCTTCCTCATTTTTCTTCCCGTACAAATGAAGGATTAACAATAATAGAGAGATAAAAAACAAAAAAATGAATAAGCATTTTATTCTAAAAATAAAGTAATAAAAAATAATGACACAAAAAATTTTATTTAATTGAACTGATACAATTTATTAAATAGAGCATGAATGACATGATATATCAAATTGATAAAAGAATTTCACAATTTTGAGATCTAGTTGTTATTCTACCAAAACCTCATAATAAACCATTATAAAGAGAGACACACATATAATAATAAGATAAAATATACTCCCTCCATTTAAAAATATAAAATATTTTTGAAAGGTTAAATTTTAAAAAATGTAAGGTATTTTTAATCTTTTCAGGTGTAATTATTGCCTTTTTTTCAAAATTATCCCAATTGAATAAATCATTTTATATTTATTTTAGGTTGAAACATCCAATTAAATAGGGAGTAAATATGAAAAGATAGAATTAATTTGATAATAAATAACTATTTTATTGAGAGTACAATTTGATTAAAAATGTCTTATATTTTTTAATGTAATTTTTAGAATTTAATTTTGATTGACATATAAACTTTTAATTTTTTTCAATTAATAGAATATTACATGTTAGAACTTGGATACCAAATCCATCATAGAAAAAAAATTAAACAAAATAAATTTTCAAAGACAAATATCCTATAAACAGATACAGAGTCAAAATTCTAAAGTTGATATTGGCCAATAATTCTCAACTCATGCATAACTGTGATTTTTCCAAAAGAAAAAAAACACGGAGAGAGAGAGAGAGAGAGAGAGAGCATAATTGTGAGTTTTTTTTTTTTTTTTGCGATCGAAAAATGGTTAAAGTGATGTTGAAGCAATTAATTTAATTAACCGTGTTTTCACTTTTCAGTACTTATCATTGAAACTAACTATTAATTAGCATCATTTTCAATATTAACTGATAATTATGATAAGTCCTTAAATTTTGTACAACAACTTCATCATTGCGATCATGATGATCACACAATTTCTTAATATCTGAGTCACATCTTTCATTTCATCATCAAATGGAACCTTGTTTCCAGAACTTCTACACAGTTGAATTTTGATTCCGGGAATGATTTGAATGTGTCAACCACGAATTATTCCTTTCTAACTGCAGTTGAGATCCTTTATTCAAAGAAAAGGTCTTAGGCCATCAGGTGACATTTTCTTTTAAGTCAAGGTATTATCTTTAATTACTCCCTCAACTTGTATATATAAGGTGGAAAGAAAATATTTTTTAAATTTTATTTATAAATTATATCATTAAATTTTTATAATAAATTATCTTTTTACCCTTCATTAAATATTAGGGAGAGTATTGTATATATTTAACACTGATAAAGTTAAAAATTTTTTAAATTTTTAGATAAAGTTAATAAATTTTAAAATTTTGCTTGATTCAAACAAAATATATTCAGAATGACTTATAAATATGATTGAAAAAATAAATATATAATTATTTATTTATTTTTATTTTATCTCTCAATATCTTAAAAAACTTTAAATATTACCATCACCCAAACAAATCTAAACCCCTGCTGTGCCACCCTCAGTTACACTTATTTACTAAATATGGCCATAATGTGTACTACTATCGTCAAAAAAATGTAAAATACTTTAATTAAATTTTATTTTTAATAAAGTAGTTATTTATTTTTAAATTAATTTTATTTTTTTATATTTATTTTTATTTAATAAGGTGTTTTATCTTAAAATAAATATATAATAATTTATTCAATAAAAAAATTTTTAAAAAATAATAATTATATCTTAAAAGATTAAAAATATATTATATTTTTTAATACTTAATCTATTAAAAAATATTTTATATTTTTAAATGATTGAAGTGTTTACATATAATCTAATCTCAACCCCTAGAAGTATAAAAAGATTTGCAGGGCTATTGGGAATATATGGCCTGATGATCTGGTGCCGTAAAAAAGTCAAGCTCAAATTTAATACAGAGTTTCTTTGCAAGTAAATATGTCAGCTTTTAAAACGCTCCGTTTCTAAAAGCTGAAAAAAAAAAAAAAATCTTCACATATGTCCATGGGTGAGACTTGAGCATTGAACGTCCGTTACATGCGTTGTCTATTTATATTGATTGAACACCCACCTGACTTAATTAATTGCCTTTGGAATTAGTTTTTTTTCCTTTTCTAATATTAACTCTTTAAATTTGCAAGGCCTTATCGAAAATCTTGAATATACTGTCATTTCTTTGCACCATTGATAAAAAAAAAAATTTAACCTACAACATTTGACATTCTTGAGAAAAAAATAAATTTCACATTTATGAAGATATATAATTTAAATTTTTAACAGAAACAACCTTCATTAAATTTAAATTATTTTGTTGTTATCCGTACCATGTAATGTCACTTGTTACTTTTTTGTCCCAAAAAAAAAAACAAAGATGTTAACAAAATCTAAATAGTGTTTGAGATGGTGGTATAATTCTCTATTCAATATGCATATGCACGCCTTCAAAAATAATTAATTTAATTTTATTATTTATGATATATTGATTTGGAATAAAAATATGTGTTATCATATATGATACATCTTTTTGATGATCCAGAATGAAATGAAGAAAATGAATTTATAAAAACATAAATTAATATTATTAAATTAATTAATGATAATGGTGGGTTGCAGAATGAAGAGGGAATGAGATCATGAGGGCAAAAGCATGACGCAATGGGGGAAAAGCTGGTCAAAAGTGAGGAGAGAATGAAAGAGAAATATGAATGGAAAAGCATGGAATGAATAAATGTGTGATATTCAACGAATGATGATATTTGATATGCCCAATCATGATGCTTTGCTTTGCTTATTGGCATTGCCTTGTATCTTCCTGCTTTTTGCTTCCTCACTTGGGGATTCTCTTTGCCTCTCCTTTTGAACTTCCCTTTGTCTTTTCACAATGTTTCATCCAGAAAATGAATGAAGAACTAATGGTACAATGCAATTCCTTGTGGCATTACCAAGTTTGGATTGAAAGGCTTTTCATGTTTTAATTCTCTGTGGGGGCATGACGTTTGACTCTTATTTCAGATAGCCTTTAATTAGAGGTCATATGAATGTTGGACATATTTCAAATTTGACATATGTCTTATTGTTTCATGCTAATGGATTTTTTTAAATCTCAAGCTAATTAGCATTACCTTAGACAAAAAATGAGATGATCCCTCCATAAAAAAATGTGAGATATTTTTAACCGAATCACAATATCAATAAAGTAATTAATTTTCTCTCAATTAATATTATCTTTTCATATTTATCTCCATTTAATAGAATATTTTATTTTAAAATAAATAAAAAATGACTTATTTATTAGGAGGCACCTTTGGTAAAATTAAGCACGTTAATTACATTTTAAAATATTAAAAATGTCTTAAATTTTTTAACATTCAAACCCTCAAAAAATATCTTATACTATTTCTTTAACAAAGGAAGTACATGAATAGATGTAAAAAACAAAAATTAAACCTTTCTAATTTGTCACAAAGAAGAAGAAGAATTTTCAACCTTCATTTTGTAACCTTGTGTAAATTTCTCATGGTAACAACTCAAGATTCAATCATCTTCATGTGCTTCAATCATACGAAAACTTTGACCAAAAAAAAAAAAAAGAAAAGAAACAATCATACGAAAACGTTATGGAGAGAAATGAAATTGTCAAGATGTTGACTGATGCAATATGCGGGGGAGCTTTTTATGGTGAGCATTTTGAGGTGTGTTTGTATTAACCACCTCACAATCACGCATCATGCTTATTGCTTTGATGATGCACTACACTAATTTACACTCCCTTTTTATTTTTTTTGTGGCCTTTTTTATTCATCATTTTGATCATGCCAATAAGATCATGATCATGCTACTTAAGATCTGACATTCATGAGAACAGCAAAACAGATGTAATGGAAATATCCGCGACAACTGATGATGGGAGAGTTTAATAATAATAACAGTTAAGTCAATTAATTATGTTGGGCATGTGGCCACCAACATCATGCCCAATTCATAGGTTTCTCAAATCCACTAAACATATGTCAAGCTTTCTCCATTCAAAATTATAAAATATTTTTTAATAAAAATTCAGCATTTCAAAATACAAAACATTTTGTTAAAATTAATATTTTATTAAATAAATTTATTTTAATATTATTCATTCTCTCTCTTTTTCATTTTTTGCTGCTCTTTTTTTTAATATATTAAATTACTTTTTAAAAAAATTTATATTTTTATTTTTTAAAAAATAA